GTTCTGGATTGCAACGCTAATCAGTGAGACATTTCAAAAAGGTAGTCAAGCAGTTAAATGCATGAAGTCCTCAGAGCTAGCATCTCTGTATCGCTGTATAGAGGAGCTGCAATGCTTTGAGTTTCATTATTAGGTATCTGGCTTGAGGATTGTCTTACTTTTAATCAATAACCTGCTTAAAAAGCTGAGGGTTAGACTAGGTGTTTTCTACAGGAACAAGTCCTGTTTCTCACTTGAGGCCAGGAAAAGGCTCTGTGACCTTTTGACCTGTGCTGGACTATGGTGATTTGATCTATATGAATGCACCTGTCCATTACCTGATCAAGTTAGATGCCGCCTATCACAGTGACAGCGCACTGAGATTTGTTACTAACTGTAAAGCACTTACTCATCACTGTACCCTGTATGCCAAGGCAGGTCTGCCTTCACTAACTGTACGGAGGCTCAGTCATGGGTACATGTTCATCTAAAGCAATGTTGGGTAAACTACCAGCTTATATATGCTGTTTGAGCTCACAGAGAGTGGCGAGTAACTATTGCCTGAGATCCCAGGATGTGTTTTATTACATGTGTCAAGAGAAAGGACTGTTTTAGGTACTAAAGCTTTTATGTGTGCTGCTCCTCTAGCTTGGAACACTATGCAAAACAAATTGAAACTGAGCATTTTGGTTCCCTTGCATCATTTTAAAGCTCGGATAGATGACATGTTATTGGATATCTGTCATTGTGAATAGGTTGCTAATGTATACCCCTGTAATTATGTTGTATTGATGTCCTTTTTGTTTTCTGTTGTTTTTATGTGTAACCAATGTGCTGCAGGTCTCCCTGCAGAGATCATTGATCTCAATGGGATTTCACCTGCTTAAATAAAGGCTACAAACAAACAATTATTAGCATGTTGACATTAGCAAGACTGAAGATGGCACTATAAGAAAGTCACTGATTACAATGTATCCTGTGTTTGAACTAATCAACCATGGATATTGATTATCGGTACCAAATCTCGTGTCCATCCATCCAGTGGTTTTGGAGATATTGCATGCATGCATTGCAGAAGCATAGCTAAAGAAGAAGGGCAAGGCCAAAGGGTCAGTGCACAGATATATCACTTATAGTGCGGGTCCAATTAAAAAAACACTGAATCCTACAATACCCAACTTAAAGCATGTATGGGTCGATTATAAAAAAATTCAAACTTCCCCCCTTGTAGCAGAATTGTTGTTTAAAATGTCACCCCACGCAGAGGTAGCTGCACAACACTTTAAAGACTTCCCTTTAGGCGATGAAGAACTTTGACTAATCTAAAAAAAGCTCCATGTTTCTGTTGAATGATAATCAAATAGTTTCTCTCGAGTCAGTGTTTGTGCACGCTTACCTGTCTTTCCAACACAAGCAGTTGCTGTAACTTCACCTATGTACCAGTGTAGTCTGCTCAGTGGATTTCATTAAGATGTTACATTTATTGTTATTAACCTGAACATGCTCAATAATCCTTTATTTTTCATTTTTGTACTGTGAAATTTGCAGCCGATTATATGAAAGAGATGGTAATGAGAAGTAATGCTGTCAGTGTCCTAGTTTCTCTGTGTGTGACTATGACCACCAGGACTTATCAAACTTCGACTGTGAGTGACACAGTTTGAACTCTGTCATTTGAACAGAGTGGTTGCTAAAACACAATCAATTCTCACTGACATCTTCAGTGATTTCCCTCTGAGGTCAGTAAGGGAATGGGTTTCCTGCTTTGAGCTGCTTGTCAACAAAGCTTGGAGGAAGAAAAGGGAAATGAGAGAGGAGGGAAATGAAGGATTGGAATGTACATGATTTGAAATACTGATTCAACACCAAGTGATTCGTTATACTCAGCAGAGATACAGTTACTGTACTGTATGATGTTTTCACATGTGTTTCTTTTGTATTGAATATCTCAGTTTTGAAAATGGTCACTGAGTTTATCAAATGTTGTTTCACCCATATCCTTTGCAGTCTTGGACCGAGTAGGTGATTCCTACCATAGTGGCGCCCATCTCAAGTACACTGTGCCTGTCATGCTGGTTGTGACTGCCAGTGGAAGTAATACCAGCTCTGACATCAGATCATGAAACAGGAGTGAACAGTAACAGACTCACATTCTCTGACTCATCGCGAGAAAGACCCACAGTCATCAGAAGCTCCATGTCTGTGTTTCAGATTCTCTGTTGAATCAATTCACAATTGTTATCTAATGAGAAACTTCAATTTACACATTAACAGAACTCCTTCATGAATCTCTCTGTGTTTCCTGTTGCTTTGAGCTTGCGTTCAGCTCAGCCTGAGATCTCACCTGTGGCGTTCGGGTGCTGTGGGACTGCAGGATTTCTGAAACATGGTGTGTCCACAACCTGTCCTCTGACTTCCCCCTCTTCGCTGGGTTGCCAGTTTTGGCGGGAAAGGGAGTATGACAAAGTTCTGCAATTGTTCAAATCACCGTTGGGGTTTTTCTAAAGTTCTGTTCAGACTGGATTAACTCATCTAGTGCACAATGGCTTTATATCCTATCACCCCAGTAATAATGACAGCTGCAGTTACTTTTAGGAAGAGAAAGGCCAGTTTAGGAACCCATGTTAACATGTGGCCATCAGCAGAGAGCTGACAGGAGCTGCTGCGACTCGATGTTTCAGTCATTATTCATTTACACTGGGGAAATAGTCTGCATTAAAAGTGAATGATATGTGATTAGCCGATGTTTGCCGTGCACTTATGTAAGTAAAGACAGCTGTCACTGGATTACTCTCATACTGAAGAGAAAGATATCAAAAGTGTTATGATCCTCAGGCAAGATGCTTTCCTGTAGTGTTCTGTTGGTTTCTGTGCATTTACATGGTCTGCAAAGGCTGCTTTCTGGATGCCCCCCCCCCCCCCCCCCCCCCCCCCCCCCCCCCCCAATGTTAATACAACAGTTATGGGTGCTCTACAGGAGGAGTTAACATTTTAACCATCAATCTCTAGAAATGATAGAATATGTACGTTATACTGTTTATTACTTCAAAAATAAAGAATAATACACCTAGCAAAAAAACGATATACCTGTAGTAATGGTCAACCACATAATAATACATTACTGTTTTCAGTGTAATGCATGTTTTCATATAGTACTGTGGACTGTCTCTATACTGTACAGTACTATACACACTGTGTGTGTGTGTGTGTGTGTGTGTGTGTGTGTGTGTGTGTGTGTGTGTGTGTGTGTGTGTGTGTGTGTGTGTGTGTGTGTGTGTGTGTGTGTGTGTGCGCGTGCGTGTGCGTGCGTGTGATCTGCCCTCCCTGATTCTCCAAGTACGTTTGGCCATCAGAGACATCGCTCTGTCTCAATGTCTCTCTCCCTGTGTGCATGTTGTATGATGTCCTCTCTCCCTCCTTCATGTCTCTGTGTCTTCTGTCTTTGTCCATCAGTGTCTGTGTTTAAACTCTGACACTCTCTTTCTGTTCCTCCCTCTGCCTTGCTCTGTACTTCAGCGCTCCTTAATGACTCTCTTAAAGCTTTTATATTAGCAGAGAGCTTTAGTATCATCTCTTCTTATTACCAAGGCTGGCCTGCCCCCTTGTGGCAAAAGAGACAATATCTCAAGATTATCAAATTAGATCATTGTGTGTGAAATAATGCCCAAAATGTTCACTGGTTTCTGTGAGTGGATGCGTTTAGGGTAAGATAAATAAATGAATGAAACAAAGCCTTAAAGCCTCATATCATGAGGAGACACTGGGAATTGGTCATTGGAAAGTGACACAAACCGCACTGAGAGGAGCGGAGTGGTTACACAGTTCACAGTGTTCCACATCCACATGCTGCTAAGTTAATAAGTACAATTAAGTACATGTATTTAAGTACAAAACTGAGTACAATTACTCAACTGCTGTAATTCAAAGATATTTGAGGCACTTTGTTCTCAGATCAAGGATTTGTCTTATCTTCAAACATTATTACAAATCTTTCCCTAAATCTACTTTCCAATCACAATAATGAATGGATACAGCTGAGAAACACTGACTATAACAGTTCATATGCAACACAGTTTTTGTGTTGGGAGAAAATATTTATGTTAGAGCTGTTTTTTTAACAATTCAAACATAGGGGTAACCAGGGCCGCCTTAATGCACGGGCTGACCTGGGCTGAAGCCCAGGGGGCTACGGAGATTGGGGGCCTATCATGAGCCAATACAAATTAAAAAAAATTATTTAAAAAAAAATCGTGTGTTTTATTTTTATTTTAAATAAACAAAGTCTTGGCTTTCAGAATATGAAACTTTTATTTCCAAAATCACACGGTAAATACATTTTTGAAGCTTGTAAAGGGAAGATGACAGCTCTCACTCGCACTCTGCTCTTCCTTAGCGCTGCCCCCCTCCCTCCGCTGAAATTATGAAAGAGTATAGTAATCATAGATAACACTGCAGGGTCCGTTACAGTTTGTTTTCATCTGATTTCAATTAAACAAAGTCTTGGCTTTCAGAATATTAAACTTGTTTCGGCAAATTCAGATGATAAATACAACTTTGAAGCTTCGGCATAATTACAAGCGGAGAACGGAGTAACTTAACGTCACAGCAGGCATAACAACAGCCGGTGTTTCTCGTGAGGGGTTTCCCCGGGAAACAAACACAATACACACAAATGCGAAAATACACAAACACACACGCGTATACACACACACACACACACACACACATACTCGTGAGCTTCCCCCTTGTGAAGTTAAAACTTCTGATGTTGCAATGTTGAGGTGGAATGAAGGAGTCTGGATCGTCGTTAGCCAAAGCACTGAGAGTTTATTAAACACAGTACATCAATACAGCCGGGAGGTCACTTAGTTTCACACGTCCTGTGCAGCCACCAAATCATCTCTCCCACAAAGAAGACACAGCACGCAGCAACATGAGAAGAGGCGGGCTATCAGAAGCCCGCGTTTTACCTAATCAATAGCAGATGTGAGACAATAATCTGTTTGTCCCGCAAAATGCAGGCAGGCCTGGACCCTTCCCCCCACAGGAAAGGGGGAGAAGCTTTTGACCTGTGACCTCAACTTTCAGAGGAGTTTTTGACTTTTAATACAAAGCATGTTTGCAATATCACAGATTCTAAGAATCTATAAGAAACTCTATAATCAAGATCAGATTAAAATATTCTCTTACAGATTCACTCTTTTTATCAATCTATTGATAACCAATTAACATTAGTCTAAGAATATTTCAGTCAATACTTAAATCAATAAGCGTCTTCAGAGTTGGGTGGGCTCAGATACATTCATTACATCAAGAAGTAGAACAAGATTGAAAACACTTCAATCACCATGATTGAACACAGTCAATCATAATAAAAATCATCTCTCTTCAGTGCTTGGCATCTTTTGTCAAAAGGCACAATAATAAACACATGGGGTACAAAATATTACAGCAAAATATATGTTTCAAAAATAAGATCTTTTATCATTTATCACTCAGTTAATCTCATTCATCAAACACAAATTCTAAATCAGCTTACATCTCAAAGATTTACTTTAAGGCAATTACTTATTAAAAACATAATTAGAATTTAGGATTATAAGAAATCAATTGAGGTATAATTTAGAATCATGAGAGATCCAGCTAAGGTTCCTAGTTAAGGTATAAATTCACAGTGATGAATCGATCAATCTGTAATCTGTAAAGTTACAGTGTCCTCAATCTTTAACATTACTTTACGTTTACTTCATTACGCTTTATTCAAGAGTAAGGCACTTAGTAATACATTTATTTCATTCAAATACATTTGTTCAAAATCTGAAAAGGAAGAATCAGACATTTTATTTGTATAACAACCTGCAAAGGAAAAATCAGACATTTGTCCTTTAATCCAGTGTATCAACTGTAATCAATTATCAAAACATCTGTTCTTTATTCAGAATATCAACTTTAAACAACATCTCAATCGCTGAATGGAGGTACCCACGGGTCGGAGATCACGATGGAGACCCAGGGATCGGGGAGCTCAGCGTTGTACATTAATATTGTGTTCTTTACAGTCGAATGCCCCACTAGCCTTTGTGGGGCCTGGAGGGCGGTCTTGGCAACCCTTCGTATGGCTAATTTAACTACAGTGATCAAACAGATCACTAGGATTAGCACAACCAAGATAAACACTGAAACAGTAACAACAAATTTAACCAGCCCCGCTCCCCAGGATCCAAAAGTTCCACTTAAATCCCCAAATGTAAACCCATGAGTTTCATGCAATTCTTTTATTCCCCTGGCAGTATCATGAGCCATATCCATAACTTCAGGTGTGGTATCAGAAATAAAAGAACAGCACTCAGTTCCAATCACCTTGCATGTGCCCCCCTGAGCAGCTAGGAGAAGATCCAGTGCCATACGATTCTGTAGTGCTACTGTCCTAACTTCCTGCAATTCTTTGTGTTCAGCTAACATCGCTGTGTTGGATACATTTAGATGGTGTTCTACAACTTTGGACAGTGCCACAATTTCCTGCTGAGTAACATAAATACCGTACCAAGGCAAGAATAGGCTAGCTATCTGTTGTCCTTGTGTAATTGACCTGCTGTTCCTGTGTAGAGAGGGAAGAATCGCTGCGATCTCCTTAGCCTCTACTTTACGGATTAAAGGGATTAGGTAGGCTAGATAACAGGTGCCATAAAAAACGTCATAGGGCACACAGCCATAGGCCCGGTCCCCACAAACTAAGTAAACTCTCTGTGGGAGGGGAATTCTGGCTAAATTTACTCTCACTATGGTGTTACAGTCGCTGTGTCCCACATCAGGAGAGGTGTGAGATCCTACTGCATTCTGGAAGCAGATGGACACATTCTTCCATTCATGCACAACAATTGGGGGAACATATACTGAGCAGTCACGTGTAGGGGGCTTGCCTAAGGGTATTGGCTGCGTACAGTTATGTATTTTAACCTCAACGGAGTCCACTGTTCTAGAGCCGAACCAGGGCACAACTGTTACCAAAGCTTCAACTAACAAAGCGGGTGTGTGTGGTTGCATTATGCATGGACTTGTGACGTTAGCCGAACAATTAGTCTGAGCTAGAGCTAACTGGAATCTATATTCAAAAGCTAGGTTAACGTATTTCTTCATATACAGTTTTAAAAACATCAACCGTTTGAAACCGTCAGGCAGGTAATTTTTATTTACTGTATCAACAATGAGAGAGACTAAACCCTTGTACTGTAAGGGTTGTTCAGAGTCTATGGGGTAGGAAGGAGTATAACAATCCTCCGCCTCGTCGCTAATTCTGGATGCTATGTCATTCCAGCTCACTAAACCGTAATCAGCTTTTGTGAAAGGAATTGGGCTAAACATAGGAGAATGCATTGATTCTGGCATATTTTGGCACAACCAACAGTTGCTAACATTACATTCATGTGCGTAGTCTAACATTAAACTTACTGCAGAATTAGTTTTAGTTCGTTTAAAAGGAGTAATTAAGGCCTTTTTTGAAGAATCTACCTCACCTTCTGATTGTTTAAGTGGAGTAACATCACCTCCTGATTGTTTAAGTGGAGTAGATGGAACATTTGTTTTGCTATCTGGTCCAGTAAATGTGCATGCAGTGACACCTGGATTGGGAACCTGGTAATCTGGCTTCCTCATTGTACATTTTACCTTATCCCTTATCAGCGTCTTGAACTGTTCTACAGTGCTACACCACGGTTCTGGGGGCATTTCTTCAATGGTGTTGAGAGCCATTCTTACCCCCTCTGATGAGACCCCGAACCAATAGTACTGGTTCTTTGGATACATCTCCCATGTTGGGTAAACTAAGGACACAGGAAACACAATAATACAGTTAGATGAGTCACATATTGAAATTGGGCAGTTAAAGGAAATAGTCTCTGACTTATGACCAGGGAGGGAGACAATCCTCCTTATTCTCCCTCCTTTTCTCTCTCTTTGTGTCTCTTGCACCATACTGAATGTCTGTGTGGTGTTTGGATACAACCTGTCCTTGTCGCTAGGCACTGCTTTGCCCGTTGGTGTTGTTTTGCCCTCAGGGTCTGGGCCCTGAGTGGTCAAGTCGTCTGCGCTCTTAGATAAGAGCACCTTATTTTCTCCCTCAGAGGGGCGGGGTCCCCCGCCACCTGTCGTTGGGATTTTCACAGCTTCATCTAGCAGGGCGTCCTTGGCCAGGTATAGTAAACCTAGAACGACTATGATGATGACTGCCTTCACACGCCAGCATCCGGTAGAGGAGAGAGACGACATCTTGAAGCGTGAATCCACTCCGCTCTACCTTGTACTCTCAGGGCTGTTCTGGTCACTATTAATACCTGGAAAGGACCTTTCCACCTGGGAGACAAAGAATCTTTTTCAAGTGATTTGATTAGTACATTATCACCAATCTGAAAAGGGTGGGTGGGCTCCTCTCCAGGCTGAGGGAGCCTGTCAGCCACCTGCCTGTGAAACTTTCTCAACATGTCAGTTAGATATTTGACATAGTTAGTCATGTAATCATCTGTCCACAAAAGAGTGAGTCTGTGGGGGATTACTGGGGGGTTAGACCCTGTGAACATTGGCCTTCCCATCAATACTTCGTGTGGGCTGAGCCCTGTCGTTGCATTTGGTGAGCTTCGGATGGAGCACAGAACTAGCGGCAGCGCGTCTACCCATTTTAGTCCTGTGGTCAACATTGTTTTAGTGAGTTTCTCCTTTATAGTCAAGTTCATTCTCTCAACCTGGCCTGAGCTCTGTGGATGATAGGGAACGTGCAATTGCCATTTGAACCCTAACACTGTAGCTAGACTCTGGGTTATCTTAGAAACGAATGCTGGACCTCTGTCACTGTTAATCCCTGCTGGAACACCAAATCTAGGGATAACATCTTTGAGAAGACACTTTACAACTGTTCTGGCGTCTTCTTTTCTGGTAGGGTAGGCCTCTACCCATTTGGAGAACTGGCACACTATTACCAAAAGATATTTGAATCCTTGGCATGGTGGCATGTGCGAAAAGTCAATTTGCATATTTACAAAGGGCCCCGAGGGGGGCGGTAAATGTTCATGCTGAACTGGACCTTTTCTTCTTCTTGTCTGCTGGCATATCATGCATCTATCTACAAGGGTCTGTGTAGCTAGTGTGATGCCTGGAGCAAACCATTGTGACTTTATAATCCCATTCATCTCTCCTTTTCCTACATGTGATTTGCCATGTGCAACATGTGCCAAAACATGGAGGAATGAACGGGGACAGACCATCCGGCCGTCTGGGTGGAGCCACAAGCTGGACTCAGCGTCAAGTGTACAACCTCGTCTTAGCCATAAATCTTTCTCCCTAACATCAGCGCGGGCTTGCATGTCCGCGACATCATTAAAGGAAGGCAAACAAATAGTTTCTGCGGGTTGTGTCGAGGGGCATTGGAGCACCATAGAAGAGCAGGAAACTGCTGCTTGTTTAGCCGCGGTGTCGGCTAATGCATTTCCACGTGAAATAGGATCATCAGAATTTGTGTGAGCAGCACATTTAACTACTGCTAGCTGTGCAAGGAGCAGGATAGCGTCTAATAGCTCTGCTACTAACGCATGATGTTGAATAGGCTTACCAGCCGATGTTAAGAAACCGCGCATTTTCCACAAGACACCAAAATCATGGCACACACCAAATGCATACCTGGAGTCTGTGAAAATGGTTGCAACTCTACCTTGAGCCAAAATACACGCCCTAAGCAGAGCATACAACTCTGCAGCCTGAGCCGACGTGCCATTTGGCAAGGCCCGGCTTTCTAAAACTTCCCAGTCATTCACAACAGCGTAGCCTGCTAAGTGTACTGTGTCAGACGGCCTGCTCGCAGACCCGTCTGTGTATAGAATCATATCTGAATTAGGGATAGGAGTTTGCAACATATCAGCTCTGGGGGAGGAAGACATGTCAATCGTTGTGACGCAGTCATGTGTTATTTCAAAAATCTGGAATTGGCACCAGCGTAGCTGGGTTTAGGGGGGGGGAACGTTTAAGAGTGATGTGTGGACTTGAAAGAATTACCGCTTCATAACCAGATCGCCTTGCTGCCGTCATATGCTGAGTAGCAGAGGTGTTCAGAATATGCAAAACTGCATGTGGGACATGTACTACACAGTCACTGGCCAGTACAATGGGAGAGGATTGTTTTACAACTATCGCAACTGCGGCTACTGCACGTAGGCATGAAGGCATACCAAGCACCACAGGGGAGAGTCGAGATGAGTAGTATGCAACAGGCCGGAAATTAGAGCCATGCTTCTGCACCAAGATGCCCGTTGCAAAGCCCCCTTTCTCATGGACGTGCAGGTGAAACGGCTGATGGTAGTCAGGTAGACCTAGGGCAGGAGCCGATGTGAGGGCCTGCTTTAAGTCCTGAAAAGCTGTGTGCATATCCTCAGACCATTGAACAATGTTAGGGATAGCCTGCAGAGTGGCAGCACGCAGGACAGAATCCATCGCAGCATACTCAAAAATCCAGTGTCTGCAATAATTTGCCATGCCCAAGAAGGAAAGCATGTCCTTCTTTGTGCGAGGTGGTGGTACTTTGTTCAACAGGCAAATCCTTGCTGGCGAGAGGAGACGGTGTCCATCCCTCAGAATGTGACCCAAATACGTGACCTCAGTCTGGCAGTATTGCAACTTGGCCAGGGATGCTCTGTGTCCGCATTCAGAAAGTCTTTTCATGAGCAGAATGGAGTCGATGCGACAGGCGTCTTTATTGGGAGAAGCTAACAACAGGTCATCTGCGTACTGAAGCAAGGTACTACCTCCTGTCAGGACCAAAGTGTCCAGATCTCTCCTCACAGCTGCTGCATACACTGTAGGGGATTCAACAAACCCCTGTGGGAGGCGCGTGTATGTGATTTGTTTACCTTTAAAAGTAAATGCAAACAGATACTGGCTGTCTGGATGCAGAGGAACAGAGAAAAACGCTGAACATAAATCAATCACTGTGTAGTACTTAGAGTCTAGGGGCAGAGAAGCTAAGATCGAATTAGTGTCAGGCACTATAGGAGCTGTCGGAATGACAATAGCGTTAATAGCTTGCAAATCTTGGACAAAGCGCCACTCATCAGGGCGATTGTGCTTAGGTATGGGTAGAATTGGAGTATTACAGGGACTAGTTGTGTAAATTAACACGCCCTGATCGAGCAAAGATTGGATGACTCCTTCAATCCCCAAAATGGCTCTATGGGGTAAATTATACTGTCTGATAGCTGGCAATCTGGCATTGGCTTTAAGTGTTACTCGATATGGAGGCGCTGAGGTAACAAAACCAACATGGTTCTTGTGTTTGGCCCATAATGTAGCCGGGACTTCTGAAAAATCTGAGGGGGTGCCATACTCTGTGGGGGGGTTTGGTTGTAAATGAAGGAAGGTGCTTTGGGGAAGAGGAATTGGCTCCGCGAGACGCAGCAGGAAATGCTCCCCTCCAAAGTTAATTACGTTAGGTGCGTGTGTGTGTGTGTGTGTGTGTGTGTGTGTGTGTGTGTGAGAGAGGGGAAAGTGTGGCTTCCAGCTGGGCCTGGCAGCGGGTTGCCATGGCCCCCACCTCCTTTGGGTTACTGCCTGGCGTAACAGCCACTGTGACGTAGGGGAGGGTTTCTTCAAGATGAAAGCCCTGCTGTGAGGGTGTTAGCCTGAGGGGTAATGCACACCCCTGTTGGCCAATGAACAAAAATTGTTCACATGTCAATCGATCTGAGCTGTTGCAAAAACCTCTTACTGATTGCGCGTAGTCATCTGACGGATTAAAGGCAGCTGTGCAGTGACAATTCAACACAGGTCGCATAAGAGACATTAAAGACGCACACACCGGAGAAATGCTAGCAATTTTCTGAATCCCTGTTGTGGAGAAAACAGAAATCATGTTGAAATCTGGAAATGACCAATAATAAAGGTTGTCTCGCGATGATTGAATGAATTGGACTGCCTGATAGACTTTACTGTCAGGAATTGTCAAAAACAATCCGTCTGAAGTGCAATGTATTGTTGCCTGTAACTTACATAGTAAGTCCCTGCCCATTAGATTGATAGGGCTTCCATCTGAAATAATGAAAGAGTGTTCCACGTTTGATCCATTAATTGAAACATTAGTGTTCTCTGAAATGGGTTCAGACATAGAAATTCCAGCAACACCGATTGTTGTGACAAATGTATTGGTTGCTTCACACACTTTCTCCTTAGTACGCACGGCAGAAAATGTGGCACCGCTGTCAATCAAAATATCTACAGCCGTACCACTAAAATCAACGGGCATAATCGGATCTTCACGCGGGTTATTGGAAAGGCGAATTGTTGCTGCTTGAATGGGGAAATGCTGTGAATCTGATCCTATTTCTTCCTGGCACCCCTATCTTCTATTAAATCCACTTTGCTGAGCGTTCTGCTCCTGGTTCTGTCTGTCATAACGTGGAGACTGCATTAATGCCAGATGTCCGGACTGCTGGGGGAGGGGGGGGGAAGGGTGGGCTGGGAAAAGGGGGGCTGGGTAAGGGGGGGCTGTGTGTGCTGCTGGACCCCCCCACCGCTTATCACACTGTCCTGCCCAGTGATCCGTTGCTCCGCAAACATGACATGGTGTCAACTTTTTGGGATGTTTGTTCTGCTGCTGTCTGCTCTTATTATGATAATCCTGTGATCTCCCCTGATTTTGATACTGCTGTGTGTGGTTTTGTCCCTGAGTTTGATAAGCCTGGGTGTTTTGAGGAAATTGTTGAAGCAGTTGTGAAATTCTGGGGGTAAGAAATATTTGGCTCCTATGCAATGCACGCATTGTGGCGATCGTCATTTTTCAGGTTTTAACTTGCCATTCAGGAGTCGCCATAGGCTTGAGCTGTCTCTGGGATTAAATTATGTAACAAGGTCTGTATGGCAAACAAATCATTACCCTCTCTTTTAATGCCCGCATTATTATCCCACACTGTCATGAAACGCTGGATAAATTCTGGGACATTTTCTGTTGGGCTCTGTACACAACCCATCACTTGGGAAAAATCTGTGTGAGTTTTAGCGCATGCTCTGATAGCCAATGCAGCGACGTTTTGTATCCACATGTCTCACGTCTGTGTCAAAGGCCAATCTCCTGCGGCCGTACAGTCAGGAAATTTAAACTCGTCTCTGCACGTGGGCCAATCTGCTTTGTATGATAAGATTATCAGCTGTTTAACATCATGAACCAAACAGTTATAAACTGAGCAGACATTAGTCAACCATGACAGATACTCATCTGGACTTTTAGTGGGACTGGGAGCGTGGTTAGTGACATCAATGACCTCAGCGGGTGTCCAGGGCTTAAAAACTGGAACCTCTCCTATCAGAATTTTCAGGGC